ATCAGAAATGATTCCCGTGGCAGTGTCCAAACTTTATAGAGTAGTATAAGGCAAGCCTGCCCTAATAAAAATACAGGTGCTTTTCTTCCTCTTCCAAAGACTTTTGCAGACTTCTGTTCAATTACAACTGAACATTGATATATCATGTATTTATCCTTTGACTGATCTGGCTGAGGTGAGAGACAATGTTAGGACACCTTGTCCAAGTCTGTTCTTTGCTGTTTGTGAATGATTTGCCAAACTTCTCCAAACATTCAAATGCTAGTTTGTACATCTCCCTGGTGTAAAAAAATGATCCCCAGCTTTGAAGCAGCTGAAAGCGCACAGGGATAAAGACTCTATACAATTTCCACATGAAATAGGAAAACAGTGGTCCACCGGGAGACACTAAATTGAAACTAAGTCTGTGCCTGATGGACCACAGGATATGCCTGCAAAATTTAGACATATCAAAATGGCGAAAAGGTCTGTTAGTGCCCATTCATATAAACTGAATGGCTTGTAATGTTCTCAGGCCCTTGGAGGATACTTGCAAGGTTGAGGAAAGACTACAGGAAGAGCAGAATGGTTTTGACATAACTTTATTTTAGTGTGCTACAGGTTTTCTCTCCTCCCTGCAGTTTAATGTTGTATTCCACTGGGTCCCGGAAGGAAGCAGCCCAGTAAATCCCCACTGCTTGACTTAAAAAGGAAACGTATTTGAAGACAGGTGAAAAACTGGAAGATAAATACATCCAGGCCCCTCGCCCGTAGTGTTTCCCTCCAGAGACTCATCTCCCAGCCACACAATATAATGGCACAGGCTTTTGGTTTAAATTTAGCCAGAGAGGAAGCTATAACGACGAAATAACACTTCCTCACTTTTGAAAACATAATTCATTTTGATTAAAAACTTGCATTACATATTACAGACAGCTGGCTGTTCTTTAGATCACTGTCAGATGATGGAGGTATCTGGGTTTTCAGGCCAATCTGCAGCATTTAATTGGGAGAAAGTAACTGGCAGCATTCAAAGCCCCACAGAAGATACTCTGGGGGGTTGTGGGGTGGTAGGTGAATTAGGAAGTCTTCACTTTGCCGGGTGTAATGAACTGAGCCGATGTGCACCCCTGCAAGGTTGAACATTTTACCTTTTTATTTGGAGGAAGGAGGTTAGGGGTTGAAAGGTAAACAATGAGAAGTTCTGCAGCCGCCTCAGCTGCTCCCAGTGCGCTTCAAAGGGGTTTCCACATGTTTTCAAGATTTGAACAAAACTCCGGTACGGCCATTTAAAGACGGTGAAGTGAGTGTGTTTTTTTCCCCTTTTCCTCCCCCCATTTGTTTTCACTTTAAACGTAGCATGCTGGAGAGAAACACAGATTTAAAAAGAAAAAAAAGCATGGGATTAAAAATGATTTGGAATTGCTCATGTTCTCACTGGCAAGCATGCATCTGAAAATTATATGCCATGCTTAAAACAGATCTCCAGGGTTTTCTTTCCACAGCTCTGTGTTATTGTGTTTCTAAAACGGTCATGCTGTAGGTTAGCAATCACTATCAGGGTGTGTCTGTTAAGAGTATAAAACATTCACCATCTGCTCTGCTCCAAATGCTTGTCACTGTAAAATGAATAGTGTAGTAATGTGTAGATGGTCTCCAAAACATCAGTGAGTGGTTTACGGAGTCATCTAGTTAATCCAACTGACAGCGTAATAGATAAAAGTCGGGCAATAACCTGCCTCAGAGGAGCTCTATTGGTCTAAGATGCAATTTCTAACACTTATGCTTGTATGACTTCCAAACCGTATACTTTCTGAACTGCTGTCCAGAAAGGTGAAATTTAATTTGCTGAAGACTGTATATACAATATTTGTGTATTGACCCAAATTATTTGTTAACTTTTGGCACAACGGTTGCATGCAAACAAGTGAAAAGTAAAACTCACGGCATAGTCTGTAAGATAAAAAGATCACTGCAGTGCAGACCTGTGCATTAATAGAAGAGAATACTTTCATTCTCATCTTAACTTTGAGCTGAGTTCATTATTCTTTACTTAAAGGTAATCAGTGGGGCTCACTGCTCTGTGAATTGCACGACACAATATTTACGTATCTGCTTTAATCATTGCGGTTCATTTATTTTTACCCTATTAAAATAAACATGCATGGAGTATTACCAGCTGGTTAATAGAATGGAGAATTAAAAAAAACCCCTGCAGTATAAACTCAGAAATACGTGAATTGCTTTGGTATGAGGAATTTCTACCCAACTACAATTGACAGCAAGCAACTCCAGTACATGGCCAGAGAGTGATGGATGTAGAAATCGTATATGTTCAGGAGAATGTTATAGATTAGCAATTTTGCAGGGGTCAAGAGATCATGATTCAGAGGTCTCAGAGAACAGGAGGGATACAGAAATCTAACAAAAGTTCAGAATAACATTATGTCAATATATATTTAACATCCTGAAGGACAAAAGGAGGCCTGCTGTGATCTCTGAACAAGATGTAAACCAAATGTGCAGAAAAGCATAAAAAGCACCATGAAACCCAAGTGTTTCAATGTCCAAACATGCCATGACCGCAAGCCATCTGTTTTTCCCTCGTTACATTGGGAAGCCAATGGAGAGGTCCACAGTGATGTGTAACCTCAATAAATATTGCAAATCCGCAGAGACATCCCCAAATTTGTCCACTGGTGATTCATCTGGGAACTAATAGTGGAAGACAATAACCAGCAAAAGGGATCATCTGAAAGACATCAGTAAACATGTGCGTAAATCACAGTGACCCAAAGCGATGGTAGGAAAAGTCTCTCCACAAAATGATCTTGTGGCTGGATGAGTACAGCACTGGCGGCAGGACAATGTTAAGGCTATTCCCAGATTCTTGATTTTTTGTCTGTATGAATTATGAGAGATTGTCCTTTCGGTGACCTCACAGTAGTTGTGACAATAAAAACAAGCAAATCATAAGTGTGTCATGCAATTTGCTCGACAACTGTTTCTTGCCAAATGAGGCTAAAACAGCTGTACATCTCCACCCGAATTCACCTGTTGCGCACCTAGATTCCTTTATGAATTGGAGAGAGACTGTTGGATGTCGTTTTATTTCACTGAAATACTATATTATGCCATCTTACATTTACATTACATTTATTCATTTAGCTGACGCTTTTATCCAGAGTGGGAGAAGTCCCGGTACGCCAAAGAGAAAAATGTTGAGGTGCCGGTACTGCGTACCGGTGCGTTCCGGCCCACTTCAAGCACTGGTGGAAACAGACCACGCTTGTGGATCATACGCAGAACCGCTAAGTAGCACATCTCGATAGGTAGCATAAATCGACAGAACACCAGCAATCCTCACCATTCTAGAACGCAGGCAGTTTAAAATGATAACGGCGTCAGATTTAACACAGAAAAATCGTACGTACTTTTGAAACAAGAGGTCTTTGATTTCACAAAGTACACAAAAGCAGCCTTCTCATTTCAAGCCAACAACGTTGATTTTGTCCGCTGAAATGACAACTGTCACTAACAGATTTTTAGCAGCTTTTGCTAGCTAATTAGGCTAAAGCGAATGCTTCATGTCCCGGGCAAAAAGTCATCATGCTCTCCATCTGATGAATCATAGACATGTTAACTGAGCAGTTGGTAGCACCCTAAAAAGACTTAATATAAAGATGAGTACAGCGTGCTCCTTCTGTTGTTGGTAGCATCTTGGCTCCCACACAGTAAATGTCTTTTTTCTAATCTAACCTGTAAACCCACATTATTAACAGTTAGCTATTGATATCCTGTTTGAGTCTGGGAGTTATGCTTGAGTAATAATGCAAGTAGAAAGCTAGTTTTACAGTTTATTTTTAAGATCAGTATCTGGGATTTAAACATAAATGCTCAACCCCAAATATATGTTAGGATTATCGCTGTTATTTGTTAAGCAGAGGTTATGATTAATGCCAAAAAGGGCTAAATCTGAGTAATATCAGCTCAGTTACTCCTTCATCAGCAGACATATAAACACTCAGCTGTAAACACCCATGCACATGAAAAATGTCGTACCCGTATATCAACATTCATCTAATCCATATGCAGCGACAATTTTATTGTGCTCATAAAATGCTCGCAACTGCCCTTAAGCACATTGTATTTTCAGCAGGCGTTTAAAAAGGCTTAAATTACACTCAAACAGCATCAGGATGAATGGATTGGCAGCACTGATGTGAGTGCATTTTTTCTTTTTAAGACAGGGAATTTTCCTCCCTTCAGCCCTGCCAAGAGCAGGAGGGGAAAATCAACTCCATTCAACTATTTGTCAACTCCCTTTAGAAACATTTAATAGTAATAAAATTTATGGCTCCAGTTTCCAAAGGATACTGCCAGTGAAGTTCATCTCTACGAAAGTGGTTGTAAATGCTACCATTGTTTCAGATTTTGATTTATGATTCAACCTTTTGCTGAGGTTTTAGAATATAAACATTGAAGCATGTAGGTAGAGTATGAATATAATATATGCATGCATTTATGTATCTATCCATCTGTGTATCTATCTGCTGGTCTGCCTGTCTATTCAGTCAATTCCATACTGTCTACAAGGAATAGAGTTTGGGGAAGATACACTGTCCTGTCTGTAGGACGAGCAATGACAGTACCAGACAACTTTCAGGAATCCACTGAAGCAGCGCTTCCAAAATCGAGTTGCCATATGGCGGTGGTGCTTAAATGTTGAGACAGGTTACAGCATGAACTCATATGTCATGTCTGTCAGCTACAGTGAATTGCTATTAAAGTTTTGATAAAACCTCCATGCACTGAATTAATGTAAGATGACAAACAGATCAATTGAGAGGACCAGAGTCATCATTTTGGGATTTCAGGACAAAGTTGAGTCACTTCATCACTCTGCTGTGCGATTTCCCATTTTCTCCATTTCAATGACGGGCTATTTGGGCTCTCTTATCCATTATTCCATTACTGTATAATTCATGAGATATCATTAAATATGTTAGTCATACTATGGATCACAGTTCAAAGTGTAAACCTTTTATTGGACAGTGTAGAATTGCCTATAATATGGTCATTAAAACATGGCGTAGTGGATTGTGAATCCGAAAGTATGAAGGGGAAAGGGAATCATGGTCAAAGTGAGTTATGGACCATCAAGGAGCAGTAAAAGCCAATGATGAATTAGTATGTATTTCTCTTTTTTTCCCCCTCTTCTCCCTTTTTCATCCTGACACAGGGAAGGAAATGCTCTTTGTTTTCTTAAGGATGTGCAATTTTCTTCTCTTCATCCTTTTCGAATCCTCCTGCCGAATCCTCAAGCCATCAAATGGAGGATTTAAAGGCCTTTGGCGGCAGTTATGGCTCCCTGCAGAAGCTTCCTCATGATGCTGAGTGGCGACTCTGTAAAGTCAGGGAGAAAAACCAACCAATTTGCAGCAAAAAAGAGAGGATATTCCAAAAACTCTGGCAAAATGTCCACAATTCTGTTTCATATGGAGCATCAATCAAATCTCTTGCTCTCTTTGCTGTAATTACTTGAAAATGTTATACATTTTGTGCAGATTCCAAATTGAGAGTTGAAACCATTAAGGGATAAACGCTTCTTTCATAACAGGAGAAAGTGAGTCACTCAATAAGATGAATTGCCTGTCCACATTTAGAAAAGAAAAAGAATAATTTGCTGCGGTTATTGTGTTTTATCAATGCTTAGCAGTACAAAATATATATTTTCATTCACTTTTCTGTTAACATTTTACACTAAACAAATGCTTAAATAGACAAATAACAAAAATCACGTCTTGCTTCGGGAGAATGGAGTAAGGAGAAATAGAGCAGCAACCTCACCCACACCCTCACAATGCACATGTGTGCACATGTGTAGATTACATTATGCTTTGGGTCCTACCACAGAAAACTTGTGTAATTTATGGGGAAATAAATCTATCCCCTTCCTGACAATTAAACCCCAACTCTAAAGGGTGGCACAAAAGAAAAGCTCTCATTTAAAAAAAAAAAAGAAAAAGAAAAAAGGAAGAAATAGAGCGAGCCTTAGCTCCTTCCTAAATCATTCACCACAACAGTACTGGCTTCTCTGACTTTCCTCCAGGGTTTTGGCTGTTAATATTGAACACTGAATGGGTACAAGTCTGCATTGGACAACTATGTATCAGCATCAACATTAAAGCATGCATCTGTCATATCCCCCAGTGAATGAGGGGGTTATTTGTGAGCCAAGTTCAAATGCTGATGGTGCTCAGCTGACAGGTGGCTGAAGTGATGATGGAGTTGTGGGAGCCATATGCAAAACAGAACATTGTGACAATGTGCACTGAAAGGTTTTATAATGGCTCATGGTTATTGCCAAGTGCTATTGGTTTTTACATGTTTAAGATATTTTACTACAAATCACAAAGTATAATTATAAACTCAAATAATAATACACACTGCAATACTGCAGACCAGAGTTTCTCATACTACAAATGTACTTTCAGAGGCTTGAAATGTACTAGATGTAAGATATCTATCACTGTGTGAACATCATCCACCTTTTTTTTTTTTAGCAAAATTACATTACGCTTGAGTGATAATGCAGTGTATGGTAAACATCCTGCAGTTTATGAATGTCAATGGTGTAGAGCTGAAACAACTTGTTTATCAATCGATTCTGTCAATCAACAGATAATGTTTTATGACCACTAGTGCTTTGGAGAAATGTTTTTACTAGTAGGTTCCCATTGTACTTGACATTAGGCTTGGGCGGTATTAAAGTATTTCGGAAGGCTATGCCAGGGTATTTAGAAATCCCAAAGGTATTCAATGTGACAACGCGATAACCCCCTTCACTTTTCCAGCTGGGAAACAACACAGACACACACCTACACACACAAACACTTCAAAACAATAATGAGAATGTTTGTGGTTATTAAAACCTGCTTTCACAGGGTGGTATAATGTAAAAATTTGAGATTTTTTTTGCCGGCTCAACGTTGTGATGTCTGTCAGCCATTGCCGATGGACGATGGCATCGTTTATCAGCCCAACCCTAAGTGGGAGAGAAAAATGTTGACAACATACAGACTGAGTGAACTCAGCCTGGCCATAGGCAGAGCTGTGGCTACCACAAGAGGAGAAACTCTGCTCCCAGTGTGACAGGGGACAGGTAGAGACAGAGCTGCACTTTCTAACCTCATGCCCCTAATATAAAACACTAAGACAAAAACACTTTGCAAACATTTCCCAAATATACCCCGAATTCCAATTCATATCAGACACACAGAAACTCCCCTATTTACTGGGAGAAATGCCCAAATGTGAATGTGCTGCAAAATATGTCTCCTCATGCCATGAAGTGAGGACAACCAGTGGAACATCAGACTGATAAATAATTGTACAGATTTTCAAATTATTATTATTTTGATCATTTGATATTTTTTTAACCCACACACACACACACACACACACACACTTACCGTTTTATTTCTTTATTTTATTTTTAATATATTTTTATTTTTTAAACACACGCACACACACACTAACTGTTTTATTTATTTATTTAATTTTTAATATTCTTTTATTTTTTTAACACAAACACACATACGCTTTCATGACTTTACGCTTTAATTACTTGTTTAATGAAATGTATGGGGTTGATTGTTCTTATGTAGTATGTATGATGCTTTGGCAATATTGTTGTTACACATTCATGCCAATAAAGCTAATTTGAATAGAAAGAGAGAGAGAGAAAGAGAGAGAGAGAGAGAGAGAGAGAGAGAGAGAGAGAGAGAGAGAGAGAGAGAGAGAGAGATTATATTTAGACAATATTGTTATTACATATTCATGCCAATAAGGCTAATTTGAATTGAAAATTGAGAGAGATGACTAAGACTAGTTTAATTGTGGAGAATTTAAAGGATATAATTGAACAATGTGTAGCATGTCCATATTGACAACCATATCCTGAATCCAACGAGCAAAAGCTGAACCAATGTTCACCCTGGCCTTGTTCTTCCCTTTATTGCTGAGAACTTGGGATTGGTACCAGAAGCTGCCATTTTTTCCATTTTTAACTGGCAATTATTTAGAGTCTTGACAGCTGATGACACAGAGATATCAGGTGATACCAACGTTGTTATTCTATTGGATCACAAGCCTTGCCAGAAGCAGAGACCAAACAGACTTCTAACACAGAGATAAACAAGACATTCATTATGGACCCGTCTTTATAAAACCCGTCTTTATGGACTTTATAAAAGCTCTGTGGATGTGTTTATTATTATTATTTCATTTATATATAAATGTTATCAATAAAACCTTTAAGTCAATGATTAAGCAAAAATGCCGCATTTCTCTGGTTCGAGCTTCTCAAATGTGATTTGAGGACTGTGAAATTAAAATGTTTTATCTAAAAACCAAGGGCATATTTTGGAAAATAGGAAAACCCAGACAAGTGGTGCATTGTACGCTAAAAATAATAAGAATTTCATTCCTATCTGCTTGTCTTTGGAAAAGCATAGTGCGTCCTGCCTCACTGCTTTCAAAATTGCCTCCAGCTGTAAGCTTGTATAAGACGATCATTTAATTCAAATACTAAGGCATCTACTTAACACAATAATCTGGACTGTTTCATCCAGCTGTAAGCAGTTGACCAGGATAAGTTTTATGCGTCTTTCTGTGGCCTGTAAGGGCCTTTAGTTAAGTGGCAGAAGGTGTGATTGCCTGTAGGCACAAATGGGAAAATTCAACGGCTTGTTTAAACCAGTGTGAATTATTGGGCTCATTTTCTATTCCCACACTGCAAACTTTCTAAGAGGAAAAAAGATCAATAATAAGGAGGTTTGCATTCTTAACAGACTGCATTTCCTGAAATTAAGTCATTACAGGCAATAGAGCTGATGAGGTTACACCTGACAGGAAACCCTGAGGCAACTGACTCAACAAAAACAAAAGACCTGTGGCTGTGCTCCGAGCTACCTCAGCTCTGTTTATCTAATTTGGTTGTTTGATTTTGTTTCATTTGTCAAGCTTGAAACTGACTTGAGCTTGTTAACTCTTTAAAGGAGAGTGTTGCATCATGCCCTCAAAATATAACCTAATGTCATGATTTTGTCTTTCATCGCCTCGCTTTCATTTCCTCAGATTCTATTAAAATGCACACAAGACAATCTGTGTTTTCTCAGATGTGGCTGCAGCCCACAGTGCATCTGTGCATTGTTTTCTGAAATATGCAATATCCTCCATCCTAAATGTGGAGGAAAAACAAGTCCATCGACATAGCTGCCACTTCAAAGAACAGTGGAAAAAAAAGTTATTTTCTAAGGTTGTTGACACAAAGCACGTATGCAAGGATTCTTTTGGCTCGTACTATTCTAACTTTGCCAAAGCAGCTGATTTAATACTCTAAACTAATCCCTGTGTGAATTCTGTACCACACACTCCAAACAGCCAGAGAAGTGTTGCTCCTGGCCAGCAGAGGGTCATTTACTTAATGGTGAATGAATCTCTAATCCTGTGTAAACGCCAGGTCCGTGTAGCGAGAGCTCCTGCAGAGATTTTTGCTGCCTGAGCTTTCAGCCAAAAAGTCTGAGCGGTTTCTCAAGCTGGAGACAAGGTCAAGGAAATAATGTTTGATCTGTTATGGCACTCTTATAATTATTTGGACCCTGGAGGAGGACCTTTTCTTTGGCTTGGCTACTGCCATCTAATATTTCACCCGAAAGATGTGAAAGCCATATCACTACTTGTGGTGTATGCACACTGCTGAAAATTCCTAAATCTTCTTGCAAATGTATTCCCCACTCACTGAAATTCCACTAATTACCATTAATTTGCTCTCCATGGAGTGCAAACTAATTTTTGAATGTCTAATTCTCTAAATCTACAACTGTCTGTCATATAGTGGGATATGTTGATTTTATTTTCTACAGCTTTTGGAATCCTGCTTTTCTGAAATCTTTATATGCTGAATGATAAACAACTTACTGGAACCACAATGGGGTCAGGATCTACGTGCCACTGAAGTCTAAAACTAAATTATAAAGTGGTTTGAATTTCCACTACAACTCAGGTGGTTTGAAGTAGATCTGCTTTCTATTACAACAATATTACGGAACCAGTCATACTTGCATTATTCTCAGTTTAACTGATGAGCATTGAACAAAAAGCTCTTGTATGGGTTTGGTATGGTTGCATTTTATGGCTGCGACTAATGATTACTGTAAGTGTTGATTATTCTGACAACTACAACTAATCATCACATAAATAGTAAATAAAAGAGTGGAAAATACCAATCACAATTTCCCAGCCTCACAGTGGCATCTTAAAGGTCTTTATTTTTACCAAAAGTCCAAAACATATTCAATTTAACTTGAACTTAAATTGAACTATTTACAAGGCAAGTGCAT